CCCCCCCCCGTTTCTCACGCCCCCTCTCCACCTTGGCTTACTGCGTCCAGTGATGACTCCGACTTCCTTGTGCATGGGTTTGGCCAAGCCAAAATCAGCTCCATCTTGCGGCAGCAATTCGTGCTCAAGTCCAATGGCTTTGAACAGCCTGCCTTCTTTGCAGCCAGGTCCTACCGAGCACCCATTCGGGCGATGGCGCTCTTTTCCTCCAGACTGGCCTCTTCCCTTCGAACAACCCGTCCGTCATCCGTGCCCCGCTCGAAGCCCCATGCTTGCCCGCTGCCGCCCCCTCCTCTGCTCGTGCCTTCACTGACCGGTCTCTCTCTTGGCCCCCCCCCCCCCCCCCCCCCGATGTCACAGATACCAAGCTTGCCTGGCTGCCCTTGATCATGGGCGCGGACTTCGGGCCGCCCGATGGCCGGGTCTTCACCCTGCTCTTGCCACGTTACCAGCCGAATGGGGCGCTGGCCAAGCGCCTCAGGAAATACTCCGCCCTTGTGGCCTCCTGCTATGTGGACCAGACAGCCCCATGGCCCTGGCCCAAGCTCGGCGCCAAGCCCAACTGGAGGGACATCCTGTCTGACAAGACACTGCCGTTGGACGTCCTACGGGAAGTGCTGGCCGCCCTGCCGGAGCCAAGTCAGTTGGCGGAGTTCCTCGATGACCCGATGGCCTCGCCGCCGGATGTCCCGCATGAGGTGCTGCTCGCCATGCTGGAGCACCGGAGCCACTTGCCTCCGGTCTTGGCGTACTTGCGCCGGTGTGCCGGCCCGGCGGCCCTCATGCTGAAGGATTCTGTTCACAGGACATCCCTCGACGGCGCGCTCGCCCAACAGCAGGACCCCCAAGTCCTGAAGTGGCTTTTTGATGGGGTCCTCCTGTGCCTGGGTCTTTTCGGGGCGCAGACGGTCCTCGGCCCGGAGGAGGAGCCGCTGTTGAGATTCTTCACCGAGCTGCGTTCCTTCCTGGTGTCCGATCGTGTGATCAGTCCCTGGCATCCATGGTGCATCCTGGCCAAGCGCCCGGCGCCGGCATTGGCGCCGAAGCCGCCCGGCATCGCGGCCGCCCGGCTGGCAGCAGGCTCGGCCGCTTTCATGGAGGGCGCCGAGGAGGGCCCGGGCGAGACCCCGGGGCCTGCTTCCTCGGGGGAGGGCTCTTCCCCAGGACGCGGCCCGTCTTCCAATGGCATTTCAAATTACCTGGTCAAGACCACTGTGCTTGAAGCGATGAAGGTCGCCACCAAAGACTCGGAGGAGCTCACCTCTGCGGCCCTTTTGCACGTGGACCTTGTGGGGTTGCTTGAGACACTCCCTGCGGACACCTTCCATGCGGCTGCGCAGACGGCCACCGCTGCCGCTGCCAAGAGGGCGGCTTGGCTTGCTCTCCAGGAAAAGGAAGCGAAAAAGGCCGCGCTCAAGGCCGCCGCGGCCAAGGCCGACGACACCAACAAGGATACCGCCTCCAGGAAGAAGGCCAAGCGCAAAGGCAAGAAGGCCCCTGCACAGGCGGCCGAGCCTCCAAATCCCCCGGCCATGGTGGAGTCTCCTCCAGTGCCGGCGAAGATCACCCCGAGGGCTGCAACCCGAGCCGGCGAGAGGGCCGGCAGGAAGGCCGGCGAGAAGGCCGGCCACGAGGCCGACATGGCCTCCCTGGCGGAGAGCATCATCGAGGCCGCGGCCGAGGCGGGCACACGTGCTGGCGTAAATGTGGGCAGGCGCATGGGCGCGCGGGCCAATGCGAAGGCCGTCGCCCGGGCAGTGGCCCGGGCTGGTGCCGAGGCCGGAGCGCGTGTCGGTGCCAAGATTGGCGCGCGAGCCGGCGCCCAGGCCGGGGCCCGGGCCGGGGCCGAGGCCGGTGCCCGGGCCGGTGCCCTGGTTGGTGCCGAGGCCGAGGCGCTGGTGACTGCCCGGCAGGCCGACCGGGCGGCGGCATTGGCCAGTGCCGAGGCCAAGGCTCGGGCCTGGGCTGCCCGTGCTGCCAGGGCCGGGGCCGAGGCCGGGGCCAAGGCCGGCATGGCCTCCGGTGCGCAGAGTGCCGGGCAGATCGGCGCGCATGCCGGTGCCGAGGCCGCGGTGCGAGCCGGCGTGGTGGCCGCGGCCGAAGCCCGGGATCGTGCCCGCGCCTGGGCCGCTGACCCCGGGGGTGGGGCTCACCCGGGGGTCGATACGCCCGGGGTGCGCTGCCATTGCTGGGACTCGCTCTATCTGTCCCAGTTCCAGGCGCAGGAGTGTCTGCGGTTGCCGATGTATCACTCGGGCTTCTGCTCGGCGCATGCCGAGGTGCCGGCCCCCCTGCGCTTGCCGATGGTGGAGGACTTTCTCCAGGCCCGGGCGCGGGGAGCTCACCGGCTGATGTTTTTCCTGCCGCACCTGCCGCAATTGGACGGGGCCTCGGTGTGGGAGTCGGCGCGGCCCATGCGATGGCTGGCGTACACACTGTTGGCGCGTGGCCCGGCTGGCCGGTCCCAGGCGTCGGACCCGCGGGAGATCCTCGAGCACCAGGCCTTGCCAATGCCACCGGCCGGCCAGGTGCCCTTCGGGCCGCCGGCCACGGTGCGCACCTATGCCCTGGACACTCGGTGCTCCTCGACGACGACCCTCCTGCAGCGTGTGGATGCGGCCCTGGCCACCGACGACGGGGCGGCCCTGGATCGCATTCTCCTCGGGGCCGTTCTCCTGTCGGTGGCTTCCCTGGACAGGCATTGCCTGGACCGGGCCCCGGATGACATGGAGCTCGTGCGGGCTCTCGCCGCCCTGGTGGCCACGCCGGCCACCATTTCCGACATCGAGTCCCTTCTCGGTGCGATGGGCCTGCCGGAGGAGGCATACCAGCCGGCAGCCCGGGCCTTGGTCCCGGTGAAGCACCTGGAAGAGCAGGGCACCGGGGTCCTGCGCGCGGCTCGACATGCCCTGATCGCCCATGACGCGGCCATCCAAGACACCATCAGCTGGTGCCTGAAGCGGCTGGGCGTGGAGGCTATTCCCATGCGGACCATGGGTGACATTCCCTCGGCCGAGGAGGATCTCACTGGCCGGCTGGCCCGGCGGCCTGACACTCCTCCCCTGGCGGGCCCTTCAGACACTGACTCTCACGACACCGAGCCCCCGGGGGTCGCCCCGCCCCGGTGTCCCATGCTGCCGGCGGAGGGCCCCTCCCCTGAGGCGACGCCAGGCGCCGAGCCAGACTCGGACCCCGAGGCCGCATCTACCAAGAGTTCCCAGAAGAAGGCCCAGCGGAAGGCCCAGCGGAAGGCCCAGCAGAAGGCCAAGGCGGCGGCCAAGGCGGCGGCCAAGGCGGCGGCCAAGGCTGCCTCTGTGGCGTCACAGAGGGCCAGGAGCTCGGCATCCGCCGCCGAAGGCTCGCGTCTCCTCCCATCGCCGGAGCGACTGCAAGCCTTTGCCCTGGCCTTGGCCACGCTTGATTCGTGGCTGGATGTCTATGCTGCCCTGGCCGGACGCCAGTTATCCCTCCAGTTGCAGCGGGGCCCGGCCGAGGTGGATGTCTTCCATGGCTCGTCCGGCTCCCTGGTGGTGGGGCGCCTCCTCAGTCTCATGAATAGCGTCTCGCTTTAGTGCACATGTTCCGGGCTTCTCCTCCCCCCCCCCCCCCCCCCCTCCCCCTCGCTCGCCCGTGGGCGGGCGCAAATAGACAGAGTGGCGTGTGTTGCCGTGTGCATTTCCACGCATGCCATTCTCCGGCTTGGCTGGTCGATGTCGGTGTGGGCATCGGGGCGTCGGGCCGGTAGTCGTGCTCAGTGGAGGACGGGCGGGGGGACGGATGGGTGGGCGTCGCCTGACCAGTTCGCGCTAGGGCTCTCGGGTCGTGGAGTTGGGCTGTGGCTGCTTTGCGAGTCGTGTACACGCCGGGGCATGGCACGAGGGCCGGGGAGCCTGGTGTTGAGTGCTCAGCGAGAAGGCCCCCCCCCCCCCCCCCCCATACCTGGTGGGCATGGCCCCGCCGGGGGGCGAGCGCTCCCCCCCCCTCCCGGGGAAACCGATCGGGCGCGAGTGGGGCCGGGAAAGGCGCGCACCTATGGCCCGGAATGGTCGCCCAACGACCGGCTCCGGCCCCCATTCGGCGGCCCCGGCAGCCCTCCTGAGAGGGCCATCCCTTTGCCCGTGCTCCGACTTCCAGCGCACCAGCCGCCCAGCGGCGTCTCACGAGGGAACAGCCCGATACACCGTGATGGCAGCGTGTCCAAGCTCCTGACCCGGGCCAAGAATGGTGTCAAGTGCGAGGGCCGACCCCTTCCCACGTTCAAGGGCAATCTCTGGACCCGGCGATGTGGCTCCCTGAGGGGGGACCCCGCGTGGCGCAAGCCCTGAATGCGAGCTCAGGTCCCGGGCAACCCTCCGGAGCGAGAGGTGGCGGCGGATGCCCGGGCGTATGGGGGGAGGAGGTAAATGCATATCTGCACAGGGCAGGTCGTGCGGGGTGCGAGTGCGTCCCCCCCCCCCCCCCCCCCCCCCCCCCTGTGCCCTTCGATTGCCGGCTTGCCTGTGTGGTTGTTCTTCCTCGCCCCCCCCCCCCCCCTCACCCCCTGCGCGGTGGATGCTCCATTTCCTTGGAGGAGTCAAACAACTTCAACATGGGTGATTGAGGGCTTTGGGGAGTTCCGCGGCGGGCTCAACACTGTTCAAACCACCCCGGTCGGGGGGCCAGCCGGACCAGCGGGGCCGGTCGCGGTGCTCGAGCCCCCCGCCCCCCGCCGCATCCGGGCCCAATGTGGCGGGCACGATTGGCGGGCGGATTTTCCTCCCCAGACGGGGTACGGGGGCGGATGTACTTAACTGGAATGGGCCTTTGTTGGTGGCCTGTAATTCAGTGAAATAACGACCCTGCTCTGCTGGGCGTTTGCGAGGCTCCGAAGACGTGTCCAACTGCGGGGTTTTTTCTTTCCATGTTTTCCCACACTGCGAAGTGTGCCCAGGAGGGGGGCCGGGCGGAGCCACACCCGGGCGACGGCCCGGCGCGCAGACCATGAGGTGAAAAAAGCCCGGCCCGGCGGAGTTTCCGCCGGCTGTTCTGCCCTTGGATGGCCGTTTTTTTGGTGGCGTCAGAGTCGGCGGTGGCCCCGGCGGCGGGAAGCCCCCGCTTGCCATGTGTGTCCCCCGCCCCCAGGAGGGCATTGAACAACTTGGTGGGAGCATGGCCCGATGGGCAGTTGGCACTCAAGTCAAAGAGCCCCCCGCCTGGTCCACGGGTGATCGGCTTTTCATATCCCTCCCCCCCCCCCTCCCCTATCGAAAATCGGCGATGGGTGTTTTCCGTCTTACCACCCTCATCGAGGAGCATGTTCCCTCTCGGTCGTGGATCATCTCCTCGCCGCGGAATGGGCTGCGCGTGATGCCGGTCGACCTTGGCGGTTTTATGTTTGACCTGACGCACAGCCGGAATCTCTATGCCGGCCAGGCCCGAGGGATTGCCTTTGATCCGTGCCTCATTGCTCCCTACCTGGAGGCATATTGTGGGTGGCTGGCCCATCACAGTGTTCGTGCAAAATTGCTGCCCCTTGCTGCCCGTTGTCTCCTCCCGACCCCGGCGCTTTGCACTCTCCGCTGCCGGACATCTCCTTTAACTATCTCTCTCTCCCTCTGCTTCTCTCCCTCTGCTTCTCTCCCTCTGCTTCTCTCTCTGCCTCTCTCTCTGCCTCTCCCTCCTCTCCCCTCCCTCTCTCTCTGCATCCCCCTCTGCATCCCCCTCT